AGTGAAAAAACAGAGAGTTGATTTTTCCCTCCATTGACTTACAATGGGGAGGTCGCGAAATTGACCTGACCTTAGGTCATCGATATCAAAATTCCGAGATATACAAATTGTAGCTACCAATGACCTAATAACATCCTGCGACTTTCAAAGTCCTTCGTCATCTATATAGTGTAGCTCTGACACGGTGACAAGTTGCAAAAAAAGTGACTTGAGGTTGGGTCATTCAAAGTCACGTGGTGACCTGACCTTAAAAGTTAGCCCTCGCCCTGGCAGGGCATTTTTTATAACACGGCCTGGCAGGGGGGGGGGGGTCGATGCGACCCCCCTCGCGATTGGCTCCTATGGCACCTAGAAACACCAAATTTGGTAGGTAGGTGGGCCCCCTGGAGTTCTCGCCCCTGTGCAAATTTGGTTGTTCTAGGTCAATATTTAGGGGGGTTTTGACTTGGGGGTTATAAATGTAAAGATTTCGCTAAAAACAGGTCAAAAGTTTTTCGCTTATAACCTTTGAACTAATTAAGATAGAGAAAAAAGAAAAGGACCAGTGAACTCAGCACGTCAAGGCGCGTCGAATGATATACTTTTTTGCTTGCTTAAGTGTACTTAAAGTTTTTCTTAACTTTTAAGTAAACTTAAAATAATTAATTAAGTTAAAGTTGACCAAATTCCATCATATTGCATAACACTCGATTCGGCTGATCACAAGGAACACAATGACACCATTTTTTTAAGCTCTAGCGTCATTATGTGCCAAGTTATTGGCAAAAACGTCATTTGACCTCAGTTGACCTCATTTGACCTGACCCATGGATAAGCACATCAAACAAAGAAGCCACAAGTGACCGACCTGCTGTTAAGTACTGTAGTTTCAAAGCACAAAAGTGATAGAACGAAGCGGATATCTGCAGTATTTTCCGAATTTAGTATTTTCCAATAGGCTTAACATTACGACGTAATGACCTCTAACTGACCTCAGGTCAGTGACCTAAAAAAAAACCGAAGTATATGTTATACAACTTGGTGAACTTAGCATGTCCTGAAAGTTTAAAGGAAATCATTCAAAAACTGTGAGTTGGACAGGTGCAAAAAGAAAATTGAAATTTGACCATGACCCTGTACCGGTTTTTCTGACCTGGTGACCTGACCCAAGGTCACCCGGACCTGAAAGTTTCAGGTTATATGTAAAAAGGTTGCCCCATAAGCTGTGCCAAATTTGGCGGCGCTGCGCGCCGCCGTTTTTACACTATCTTCGAAAAACCTTAGGGGGGTCGCATCGACCCCCCCTGCCAGGGCGAGGGTTAAGAGGTTCAAACTTGCACACCATGTGCAAAATCGATAAGAGAATTGTCATACCAAATTTTGCGGCGCTACGCGCCGCGGTTTTCACGCCATTCACGAAAAACCTCAGGGGGAGGCGGATGACCGCCCCCCCCCCCCCGTCGGTGCGATGAATGTCAAGAGTTCCCGGAAACATTAGTTGTGCTTAGCGCTTACGATGCAATTGCTGTCTTACGCATTAATATTTATTTTAAATACATTAGATAAGTGTCCATTTGCTCTTACCACATTTCCATCTTACACATTACATCATTCCTCATACCACATTACATTTCCTCTTACCACATTACATGCCGGTCCCGTAGCTCAGTCGGTAGAGTGTTGGTTTCAGCGTGGTAAGAGCACGCGTTCCCGGTTATAATAGTCCAGGTTCGAAACGCGACGGGCGCTTGACATTTATGGACTTCCTGACCAGAGGTCAAAAAAACTTATTTTGTGTCACCTACAAAATTTTTCAACCCCCTTTGTGTCCCCTGCCCCCAGAGGCCGGATAAGTGTTGCACTAGGGTAATAAAATTGGGAAAAATCTAGGCTTCATCAGGCCAGTGTTAATGTCAGTGTCGCCAATGTTAGTGTGGCTTTAAACCTGGATAATGTATTATTACAGTGTCCCAAAATTTGTTGATTTGGGTGGGAAATACTGAGATTCATTTGCCACTCTCACCACCAATTTCTAAGAGCAATTAACCACTCTCAGCCAAGAACACCTTGTTACATCAAAAGGCAGTTCAGGTGTGGTGGACTTAAACAGGTGGACACAGGACAGGTGTGGTGGACTGAGTTGTGTGGATACTTGGAGTTGGTTTATGATCATAATAGATACTCATGGATAAAAATAAAGGCTATTGATCTTTTCTCACTCTTTTTGTATCTATTCTAACCAGCAGTTTCCACCTTCTACCCCTTTTTGGTGGATAATATGCCCCTCTGACACCCCAGCCAAAACTCAACTTTGGGACACTGAATACATGTGTAACTAATCTTGTGCAGATGCATTTAAGAATTGCTTACATTCTATTTTACATTTTTCCATAATACATTTAGATTTGTGTTCTATATGGTGAGATTTCACACCTGTTATGACATAACAAATAATAGGTGCCTATGTATAATACAATATACCTACCTATGCAACATGTTGCAAAACGTTCCTTTTCCACATCAAGGCCACTAATATTGTTGAACCAAAATCATAATCATTAGATTTTTGTTAATAGTATACAATAAGTCAAAATAAAATAGGTGTAGGTGCTAGGTAGGTGGGTTGTATGCTTCGGAGCTTGTCGGTTGGCAGGTTGAAGGTAGGGAAGTTGTAGCTTGTAGGTACAGGTAGGTAGAAGGTAGATAGGCTGTAGGCTGGTAGGTAATAGGTGGTATGGTGGTAGGGTAGAAAGTAAGATTAGGTTAGGTAATGATAATGTTTTTCTTTCATTCAGAGTTCTTAAACACTTTATGCAAGAGTAAAAGAGTAGAAGTCGGAATGAAGGAAAAACAATTAAGCCTGAACCAAACTTACATAACTACTAACCTACAACCTACCTACAACATACCAACACAAAACAGAAAACCTACCAGCCTACAACCTCCCAGCTTACAAACTACATACCAACCTACAACATTTTTTCGGAGTCCTTGGACTGGTATACCTACTTTTACCAGCTAATGAAAATTGAAATTCCTGCTCTTCTAGGGCTGAAAAGATTAAAATCAAAATGAAATTTGTATCAACATTAACAGTAAAAACATCTATTCATTGACAACTTTGGCAAGTGTTTCAAAATCAGGCAACAAATCCACACAGCCTTGCTTTTGATCCCCACCGGGCTAGCGTTGTTGATCCAACTTACAAGTACCTAAACCAGCAAAATTAGACACCCCAAGATTCCTTACCTCCAGTGTTATTTCCTGCCTTTCATAACCACAATACATTATACAACAACTCAGGCTCAGCTTTCATCACGGCGCCCCTATATATGGCCTTGACGGCGCCAGTCCCTTTCTTGAAAGCATTCAAACTTGTTTGAAAATTGGACAAGCACGCGCTACTCGCGAGAGTCCACTCCTGTTTTGCTACGTGTTCATGATCACAGCATACCTCTCATAGACGTGCGCCGAAAAGGCCCGCTCAAAATCTTTGATGCGTTGGCTCCTGGGGCCTACAAAATCCACAGTGAAGGCTCCCTGGCGGCTGGGGCGTCAGCTCAGCGTTGTCCCCTCGTGTCACCAGCATCCGATTGGTTCGCTCAGGGTTATTCTCGCCGCGGATTGGCTGGTTAGTCTGTTCGCTAGCAGTGTGCGAAAACGCCGTCAACAAATGCGATGCAGTGTGTTCACCATTTTCGTGACTTTGTCACCAAATGTCTCTGGTGCCTGTCAGCTTCTGTCGCCTACAATGTAAGCGAGTAGGAAGTTTTTTTGACCTCTGTTCCTGACATGCATGGTTGCGGTTGGTGGCAGGGCGAAGCCAGGCGAAGTCGGTGAGGAGACCGGCCGTGCGCGGCTATGTGCGCACGTTAGACTATGGACTCTAAATTCTGCCATAGAACCGGAATTGCGCGGTCGGAGGGTGGAGGGCAAGGTCAACGCAACAAGTCTCGCAACAAGCTTTGTCCTTGCCAATCCTTCCAATAAAAAAGTTCGGAGTAAATTTATAACATAAAAATCTGTAAAATTTTGGACATTTATGGGTGGAAGATAACCAGCTTGAGGGCCCAATCTCACCAGGTGTGGCAGATGGCGGTACACTGAAACTAAGGCACTTAGATAACCCCATGCAAATAATCTAATCTCATCAGTCAAAAAAAAAAAAAACAACAACAACAACACGCGGTACATGGTCGTTACTTCACGACCATGATGCATGCATTTCTTAAATTGCCTTTTTTAGCCAAAACGTCCTCGTATGATAAAAAGAATGTCACCATTTTGTTCTACGCACAAAATTACTCATAAAACATGTGTCATAAAACATGTGACTGCGAATACCAGTTATGATTTTCGGGGATATGTGCTTACCTGATTGACCTAACCTTGACCCTGGCCTATGTTTGACTGACCCCTACATAGACCTGACACTCTTTATGCCTTTTATGAAGGATTGTGCGCAGTTTTGACAGTGTGTCACGAGAAGCGCCCATTACGAGGTTCTAAGTCCATGCTACTGAAAGCCCGATTTCAGGTGTTGTACCTGTACCTGAACTTGACCCGACTTGTGACCTCGAATTCAACTTTCAAGTGCTCATTTGAAGCGTCTCGTCGCGTTCTTTCGTTTGCCGCCTCGTGCGTGCGTTTCGTTATTGGTTCTCGGGCTATCGGTTGGGGGCGTTTAACGCCCCCCCCCCCCCAGCAAACGGCGGGTGGCGAAATACCCCAGCCACTGCCGGGCTATAGAAAACGTGGGACCGAACAGCTGCGGCCGCCCCTCCCAGATATGTTACACAACGTCAAAATCAACTGGCAGGGGCGCTTTCAGGGAAATTAAGAAACTTCATATTGCGTATTTGAAAAAAAAAAACTTTCAAAGGACACGCATTAAATTTAGGTGTTTGAACTGATGCTGAAATAGCCAGCACTTCGGTAAATGAGCAGAGAGGAGTTTTGGCTCCCAATTACCGCCCCTAAGAGGCACGCACTAACATCAAGAGTGTCGCAGGTGGAGCAGATGTCGCGCCGCTCACGCCTGTACTCGGGCCTGCGGGTCACGGCTAGCGTCAGATAACACCCGGGCTGGCGGAATGGGGTCCTCCCACTCCCCGCGTCAGTCCGCCGCCATGACGACTCCGACCCGGGCCCTGCTGGCCGCCGTGCTGCTGCCGCTGGTGGCCGCCGCCGCGCCCGACACCCTCCGGCTGGTGAACGTGCTGTACCGTCATGGCGCCCGGACCATCATCGCGGCGTACCCGACCGACCCCAACATCGGCGCCTGGCCGCAAGGTTACGGACAGCTGACCAACGAGGGCAAACAGAACCAGCTCGAGCTGGGCCGCTTCCTGCGCCGACGCTACGACGGCTTTCTGCCGGAGCTGTATCACGTGAACTACATACACCCACATTGAGGCGGCCGACGTGGACCGGTGTCTGATGTCGGCGCAGGCCAACCTGGCCGGCCTGTTCCCGCCGCAGGGACAGGACGTCTGGGACGCCGAGCTTGCCTGGCAGCCGATCCCCGTGCACACCGTGCCGTTCGAGGACGACTACAAGTTCAAGTCCCACAAGATGTGCGCCGCCTACAACGCCGAGCACGATCGCGTGTACAGCTTACCGCAGATGGAGGCCATTAACGCCGAGTACGCCGGCCTGTACCAGTACCTGACCGAGAACAGCGGCGACCTGGTGGCCGACATTACGCACGTGCAGTGGCTCTACGATACACTCCGGATCGAGTCGACCCACAACTTGACGACGCCCGAGTGGGCGCTGGCCATGCCGCCCGGCTACGACGCGCCGGCGTTCCCCGATCTGATGGAGCCCCTAGGAAACCTCGACTTCGGCTTGCTGGGCGCCACACCGCTGCAGCGTCGGCTCGGCGGCGGGCCCCTGCTCAAGGATATGTTGAAGAACATGAAGGCCAGTGTGTATGGCTACCTGAGCCCGGTTAAAAGAAAGCTGTTCGCCTACTCGGGGCACGATACCAACGTCGCCCTCCTCCTGACCACTCTGATGGTGAGTCGATGACCGAACGGGGTAGTTGCTGAGGTGACGTCTCAGCAGCCTTCCGCGATGATAAGTGATGATAATTATGATAGTGGAGGTCTGGTAGTATGCTTACGGTTACCAATAATGGATTCATATAACTAGGGAGCAATGTCATCAACCAATATCAGCATATGCAGTCTTTGTACGTAAAACTGCCTTTAATTAACATTTAACCGCTGCCTTGAACGACGGCTTCAAATCGTTTCTCGCCACCCCAGGTGTACAACGGCGTGATGCCTCCTCTGGCCAGCGCCGTGCTGGTGGAGCTGCACGAGGAGCCCGAGGTCGGTCCCACCGTGCAGCTGTTCTACCGGAACGACACGGCCGCCGAGCCGTACCCGCTGCAGCTGCCCGGCTGCCAGCTCAGCTGCCCGTGGGACAGCTTCGTCCAGCTCACCGCAGACGTTGTGCCAGACGACATCGAGGCGGAGTGCGCCGCCGTGCCCGAGGGCTACGTCCCCAAGGCGAACAAGTGGCGCCGTGACTAGGCCCTTCTCTGATCTGCAGGAAGGGGTGTTTGGTCGGCAACTGAGGACAGGCACGGACAAGTTGAGCGGGCGTCGACGTGGGGTCTGGTCAGGAACGGTAGCCATTTTGAATGTTTTGGATGAAAAGGAGCGTTTTGTTTATCTTTGTGATTTAATCTTTAGATGTAACTCGTCAAGGCTAGATCGCTCACTGTTTTCAATTCGTGTAATGCGTTATTTTTGTCATAAGGGCAGTACTGAAAGCTATACATAATCTTCAACAGCCTTTGTGAGGTTCCACTTCCGTTTCGTAAAAGGACAGAAGGTGAACGAAGGTTTAGCTGGAAGGTATAGCTTCATAACAGGATGCCTAGGGGGGAAGAGGCGAAGGAATCTTTCCGAAGAACACATGACCCTGTAATACTCCTGAGTGTAGGCCCTTCTATTAGTCTCTATAGGACTTTTTCTGAGAGAAAAGTCAACAAATACCCTCACAACAAGGCCTCCTTGAAGACCAAGATCAAGATGGACTGCATTGAAAAAATGCCATGGTGGCCATTGCGTGTAACAGTTTCAGCAACCGAATCAAACGTGTCGTGGAGGCTTAGAGAGTTACATTAAGTGGAACAAAATGTGGACATGGCAATAGCCAAGTATGAAAAAATGAAGTCAATACATGCATATTCTTAGGAGGCATAACGTATTTTGTAAGACTCGGACGCTCGTCCTACTTTATCGTCCGCATCCGTATTGCCGAAAATGCTGGTGACCTTATGTCTTATGTAGTCACCGCTGGTCATTCGCACCTTGGCCATGGCATATCAATAGAGTTGGCACGGTTTCAAAAGAAAAGTCTTGCGTTTTTGACTGATTGGTTGAAGAGGGCGACATAAGTGTTTGTCCCCATCATCTTATTTATAATAGTCATAAAGCTGATCTCACTCCTGGCCACATATGTAAAATCCCAGATTCATATATTGCTGAATCTTATAACATGATGCGAGACAATAATGCCCTAAATCCAGGTCACAAAGCTGTTTGACAAGATCCCAAAGCTTTTTTAGCGGCATAGTTACCTGACATGATGGATGGCCCGACCGCATGATGAAAAACATGGGGAGTGTGGCCAAAAACACCCCAAGCTACCACGGCAAATGGTGAAAACCCGACGCCACCAGAAAAAAAATATGTGTCCTGCCTTATTTATGTGCCGCTATTATCTTACACGCTAATATAAGTGAGACGCATTGTGCGCGCGCATGAAAGACAAGCAAGCGCGTCTTCCCCAAGTGTTCCCTTTGAAGACGAAACGATCAGATTGCTTTAAGATGAGTAAATAATGGCACAATCACTGCGTCCTCTCTCATATAGATGACACGTCGTTTGATCACGTTTCAGGATGATAACATGCAGAAAAAATGTCCATGATACACATCCTGTACGCTGAAAGAAGCTGTCGGCATATTTTTTCTTTTTTTTTCTTTTCTTATCAGCAAACAATGTCCTTCTGAAGCACTCTCTAACTCAACTTCTACATTTGAAATTAGATATGATATGCACTAGCATGGTATCAGTAGCAAAAACAGAAGCCGCATCGACGCCCACTGACGGCAGTATATCTGTGAGGAAAACATGGAAATGCGAGGAACGTAAGGAAAACATGTCTATCTGTAGAAGCTTCGCTCACAAACCAGCAACCGGGCCAGATATCTGGGCCGGGTCCTTATATATTGTGAACCTAAAGTCACAAACCGGAGCACTTTGTTGGTTGATGTCATCAGGCAATCGTAGGGTCATACAGGCGTTGTGATCTACTCGTGTGTTATTTATTTATCCGATATCCGATAGCTTGTTCGGATCTGTGTTGCGTGGCCTGACTGATAAGCAATAACAAGCGTGGATGTTGTATGCCTGAAAGAGTATATGAATGGTTCGTACAATGCGGTAGTTGAAATTACGCTCTCTCTCTCTACTTAACCCGCGCCCTGGCGGGGGGGGGGGTCGATGCGACCCCCCCTAAGGTTTTTCGAAGATAGCGTAAAAACGGCGGCGCGCAGCGCCGCCAAATTTGGCACAGCCTATGGGGCAACCTTTTTACATATGACCTGAAAATTTCAGGTCCAGGTGACCTTGGGTCAGGTCACCAGGTCAGAAAAACCGGTACAAGGTCATGGTCAAATTTCAACTTTCTTTATGCACCTGTACAACTCACAGTTTTCGACTGATTTCCTTCAAACTTTCAGGATGTACTAAGTTCACCGAGTTGTATAACATATAGTTCGGGTTTTTTGAGGTCACTGACCTGAGGTCAGTTAGACGTCATTGCGTCGTAATGTTAAGCCTATGGGAAAATACTAAATTCGGAAAATACTGGAGATATCCGCTTCGTTCTATCACTTTTGTGCTTTGAAACCACAGTACTTAACAGCAGGTCACTTGGTGCTTCTTTGTTTGGTGTACTTATCCATGGGTCAGGTCAAATGAGGTCAACTGAGGTCAAATCACATTTTTTCCAATAACTTGGCACATAATGACGCTAGAGCTTAAAAAATGGTGTCATTGTGTTCCTGGTGATCAGCCGAATCGAATGATATGCGATATGATGCAATTTGGTTAATTTGAACTAAATTAGTTAATTAAAGTTTACTTAAAAATTAAGAAAACTTTAAGTACACTTAAGCAAGCTAAAAAGTATATCATTCGACGCGCCTTGACGTGCTGAGTTCACTGATGCTTTTCTTTTTGCTCTATCTTAATAAGATCAAAAGTTATAAGCGAAAAACTTTTGACCTGTTTTTAGCGAAATTTTTACATTTATACCCCCAAAACCCCCCTAAATATTGACCTAGAACAACCAAATTTGCACAGGGGCGAGAACTCCATGGGGCCCAACTACCTACCAAATTTGGTGTTTCTAGGTGCCATAGGAGCCAATCGCGAGGGGGGGTCGGATCGACCCCCCCCCCCCCCTGCCAGGCCGTGTTATGAAAAAGGCCCTGCCAGGGCGAGGGTTAAGTACGTCACTCTCTAGAGTTACATCGCCCTGGGCACGTCATCAGCTTTACGCGTTTGCCACCACCCTACTCCTCCAAAATAGAGTGTAATTTCTATTCACCACACCCTCGGAGCGCCGTTGGCTTTTCACAGGCGCCGTCTAATCTGAGGACAGCACGGCCACAACGCCTCGTGGCGCAGGTAATCAGCTAATTTCCAGGAGCTAATCGTGCCGTCGTATCAGTGGCGGTATACCCTGCGGAGATGAGACAAAGAGAGACGCAGCTGGCCAAAGCCGGGTGGCTTGTGGAATGAGAGTGAGAGGGAGAGAGAGATGGGAGAGAGACAGAGAGAGAGAGAGAGAGAGAGAGAGAGAGAGAGAGAGAGAGAGAGAGAGAGAGAGAGAGAGAGAGAGAGAGAGAGAGAAAGAGAGAGAGAGAGAGAGAGAGAGAGAGAGAGAGAGAGAGAGAGAGAGGGGGGGACGAAGGGAGGGAGGGGGGAGGAAGAGAGGAAGAGGTCTAAAACGATGTCGAAGACTAGAAGCTGAATTGAAATGCGGTGTTTGGAGGCTGTTAAGCTGTAAATATGTGCATCATACAAGCAGTTTCAGGTCTGCATTCTATGAAAAATAGCTTACTTGCTTCATCAAGCGATTTTACATGATAATTCAAGTAATGAATGCGACGTGTTATGATAAATTACCAAAGGACAAGGATGAAATCAATTTACTAAAACAATCATCCAGTCCTGCTCTTTTCTAGGATCCATTTAACCCTCGCCGGCCGAGGGCCCCCCCCCCCATAGGACCTATGACGTCATAAGTGAACCTCTGCACGGTCTTCAGATGTCGCAACTTTGCAACGCCCTCACTGCCAGAGGAGATGTCACAGGGAAATGAAACTTGCAGTATCTAGTATCCATTATGAGTCCCACAACTTGTATATCTCGGATTTTTCCTAAAGGTCATATGAGGTCAGGTCATTTTCGTGACCTCACCATTGGGGTCAATGGGGAAAAATGAAAACTGCTATTCTGGCGCCGGGAACGATCTCCAACTATCTCAAGCACACAGAATCGTGATTTGATGCACTCCTTGCAAGGTTAGATGCGTCACTTTTGCAATGTTGACCTTGCGTGACGTCATTTATGACGTCATCAAGGTCATATTAGTTTTTCGTCAATAACTCTTGATCAAATTGAGCTAGCGAGTCGGCAAAGCCACCAATGGACTCAGGAAGGCCTGCCGAATCGAATGATATGCGACATGACCTCTTTCGACCAACTTCGTGACCTGGGGGTGCTGACCTGACCTTTAGTTTTTACGGCGTGAAGTGCTGCCTGCCCTGCGTTGCCCACTGCCCAGCCTTTGTCCTTGGTGCTTCGATTTTCGAATATATTTGAGCCAAGAGGAATGTGTGAGTTCAGCGCTACGCCTAACGTTCGGAGACAATGGGCGCTTATTTTGGCCAAACCTTTACTTGTAAAAATTCATTCACCAGATGGCACTGGTGAGAAAATTACAAGCCCGTAGATTTCTCGGCTCAAGGCGGGGAACCCTTTCAGGGATGGGAATTGGGACCCTCGGGCCTTGCGACCGAGGGACCTTTTCGTGAATCTTGAGACATTGCCCGTCGTCAGAAAATGATGGGGCTTTCTGGATGCTACGGTTGCTCCCAGTCTCGATTGCTTCCATGACTTATAATGAAACCTCTATTTCAGGAAACACGTCTTCGATTGACGCGAGCCCTGGTCGTACCAGCGATCCGCGCCAGTGCTGCTACCTAGCGGAGGACCCCTAAGCTGAGCCTCGCCGCCGTCCACCAGATGGACGGTGTGCAGCAGGTACGATCATAATTCGTCGACGTTTTGCCGCCCCATTGATGCCGTTTTACATAGGCCTGTTAGGGGCGGACCCTGGCCCTATAGCGTTAACCCTATTCCGGGCGGGGGGCCTTTAAGGCCCCCCCCCTTCAGGTTTTTCTTGTGCCATTGCCAAACGCCGCAAGACTGAAAGCTCATACCCGGTGACTTTTTTCTTAACATTCATTGCGCACATTTTGACAAAAAAAAATTGCCGGGTCAGGTCAGGTCAGGTCAACAGAGGTGGTTTGTTGACCCCACCTCAGAAAAGTTTGCAATCACGCCATAGCTAGAGTTTTTGACTGATCAATTTCTTCTCATCAGGTTTTAGTTAGGGTACCAGTATGTGTAATTTGTATATCTCAGAATTTTTATATGTGACCTGAGGTTATGCCAGACTCGTGACCTTTACATTGCAAGCCTATGGGAAAATATTGAAACGCCTCCTGCTTCGTGTAAACGAGTCAAAACCACCCAATTCTTTCAGTATTATGGAAGATTATCTCATCGGTGATGATCCTGGTGCCGCTTATTGACAGGGGCACCGGGAAAGGTCATCTGAGGTCATGTGACGTCATTAATAGTTTTCTGTCAATAAATCACGACATGATGGTGCTAAAGATTTGTAAGTGGTACCAAACTGCTCGCCTGGTCAAGGCGCGTCGTTTGGTATGCAGCATGACCATACCCCACAACCTCATTGATGAATGACCTGACCTTGACCTGGACAACTCGACATCAGTGCATATTCCTAAAACAAGACATATATTAAAATTGCTGTCTCTATGCCTAAGCCCAATATGAATAGCCCCGGGTAGAATCGAGTCTGGGCCATGCATGGGCTCGCCTCCACTACCACGAGGTAGCAGCATATTCGGGGACGGCGCGTATCTGTCTATTTGCAGCGGATTCGCGTATAAATGAATATGCTGCTAGAATAACCAACGTCAAATTATAGTAAAACCAAGGCCATATATATTTAGTATACTTCGTTTTTCTTAAGTTTGCCCCTCACTGTAAACGTCTTTTTGAACATAGCACGAGAATTGCTAGCTGAATTACTGAGAAAACTGGTTGGCGAACACTGATTTGACCAGATTTCACAGATGATCAATTTCATCAAATCTATATTACTATTTGAGGAGGGTGCGTCTGTCCGTTACCGAGGTCCCGACTTGGTGGTGCTTTGCGTGGACTACAGGCCAGACCGTTGCACCTAGCCCGGTGAAATTTGCACAACTTATAGATCAAGGATGCGCGACGTGCCTTTGAGGGGTCTCAGCTCGATCGGATTGATAGGGAGCGCGTGGCGCGTGCTCAAAAAGTGCAAATTCGCGTCATAGACTTTACATGTATAAATCGGCGTGCGAAATCGGGCGAAAACGGCTAATTTTGGCCGACACGGGTCCGGTTCCGGCGCAATATCTTGGTGACCAGGGGTCCGACCGGCACGGGGAAAACAGCATCGTGTAGATAATTGAATGGGCAATTGAATGGTGTGCGATACAGAGGATAGCACGCGCCACGTGCACCGGGGAGGGCACTTTTGTTGAAAAATTGCGGTTTTGGGCGGATTTTGGAATTGATTTTATTTTTAGGTGACCGTTAAACAGAGCGAGTTGGAACAACGCCTGTTGGCAAGAGAAATGTACCGCCTATCATATAAAAGTTGTAAAAAGCTGATTGATCCAAATCAAGGTGGTGCAAATCACAGGAGAAAATGGTGTTTGTCAATTTTGTGCCACTTTATTAATCACACGGGGTTTGCTGCATAACCTGATACATTTGGCAATTGAATATGGTACCATTGGATAAAGCATTCAATTCTGTCCAATATTCACTCTTCATTTTTGCATGATTAGCAACAGTATCCTTAAAAAGGTAAATGTTCCAAACCATTACATTGTCATTTTTAGCGAAATTCATCGATGGCCCTCAAAAGACTTCACGCCAGTTTTCGAATCATTCTAAAGTAGAACGCATGATAATACGACACGGGCACCTCGATGCGATGCATCTTTTTGTTTTCTTACAAAATGCTTGGCCGTCAAAAAGCAATCGAACGAATTTGATACCAACCAAACCGACACAGACCAACCCAATACCCACGGGTCAAAAATAACCCTTCTTCGCGTTGCGGAGCACGCGGGTAACCCTAGTTTCTCTACTATTTCACAGATTCTTAGCTCGTATTTGCCAATACCTACAGCCCCACAGGGATAGACGACTTCTCAGGAATTATGTCTGAACTAATAAATAAATTGCACGGCGCTTAACATAACGTTAAATCGTCGGTGTTCAAAAGTTATTTTTGAAAATATTATTCATATCTACAATACAATGTGCGCTAACCAGTTTTCTCAGTAATTCAGCTAGCAATTCTCGTGCTGTGTTCAAAAAGACGTTTACAGTGAGGGGTAAACTTAAGAAAAACGAACTATAGTAAAACTGCCGCAGCACGCTCAGCCGATAACGTGAGATCTGCAGCTTGGCTTGCGTGGGGAGCCAGTGTGAGCCCATGTGTAGACATAGGAATTTCTACCAGTATATATGCAAGTATTCCTACATGCATTCCTTATTCTTCTATAACATGACCCAGTCCATTACCAAGGACTATATCATTTATCATCAAATGGAATATTGGATAACATTGTAAACAATATTTGTGGAAAAATAAACGAAAGGCTAGCATACACGCCCTTCTTCCCTGAAGAATCGCAGCCGGAAACCTCGAGGAAAAACATTATCCCGTCATTCACCAGCCTACGCAAAGCTTTCATAACAGCCGTTCTGCTAATGTCCTCCCTCAAAGCTCCATTCCTCGCCCACATAGAGAGCTTTTATAGTGCGATCGCCCACGTATGCGACAAATGACAAGTCTCGTGGACAGGCGAGCGGTCGAACGTGCACGCTACTGCTCATACCACCATCAGAGGCGGAGATGGCGGTAAATGGAAGCGACACTGGAAACTCGAAGTCACCGCACTATAAGAGACACTCCCGGAACCAGTATAGCACAGTCGAGATGAGGTTACGAGACCGAAAACGATGATTTGTGGCATAGTGCTGCGCATGTGAACCCCCGCACCTGATATACTGAGCTCAGTCGCCAATTTTGATAAAAGGGAATAAAATGCGACCGACGCACGTTTCCGCCCATTTGGCTGCATTTTACGCACCAAAAGTTTCATTAAGTGGTTGCGGATGTAACCATAGGTGCTTTGAACTATGATTTGTAGGAGATGTAGCAAAATACAGCCCAATGAGACGAAAGCATACAAATGGCGCATAATACGCCCACCGAACCTACTAAAAACACCCACTGCTAGATGGTGAATATTCTTAGGATGTAACTAAATGCACGCGGATGTAAAATACTAACAAAAGCCTTATCAAAGTGGTCCCAGGAAGCGTCCTACACCTTTTCAAACTTAAGCAAAAGAGATAGATGTTCAATTCAAAACGTGAAAACACGTAAAAGCAAATATAAAGCGCAAAGAACTATCAAAAAATTAACACGCGCAGTGGAAGGGGGGGGGCGGATTTCGCCCACCCCTCCTGTTTTTCGCCAATAGATCGCGCCTCAAGCACAATATCAATGTGAAATTTCGGCTACCTGTCCGGAATTGAATTGCGGATCTTCTCGTGCAAGAAGTAAGAAAATCGGTTCACAACTTTTCTAGTAATATCGGTGTAAAGTCAAACATCGTGCCGCCGCGGCGGCGCGGCGGCGCGGCGGCCGGCGCTAGCCGTTACGCGCCGCCTGAATTGTAGACTGTGCCGGGGCGGGACGGTTCCGTCTTTACATCGCGCTCCTTACCGCTGATTATATTAGATTCGCGTCAAATTCGGTGAGAAGACTGAGAAATGTACACGCAATCATATGGTCAAAGAATTTTGAAAATCGGCCGGTAACAACTTGAGTTATGAGTGTGTAAACACAAAATTGTGATTGCCGCGTTTCCCGCGTCGGCCGATGCCGCTTCAGCCGGCGACATCTTACCCTTAGCAGGCTTCTAACTGCCATATTTATTGTTGGATTATCTAGAAATTCACCATACATACTCACAAACGTTTGCTCTTTCGTATAGTGAAAGTTTTAAAAAAATCGGCCGGTAACTTTTTGAGTTATCGGCGTGTAAACGCAAAAAAGTCGCTAATATGGCAGATTTGACCACATTTGACCTCATTTGACCTTGAAGATATTGACCTAGGGTCACAAAATTCACACACAATAGAGTTCCCTATGGCCCCCACCTACCCTCCAAATTTCGTCTTTCTAGCTCCAGTGGGAGCTGAGATCTTAGGGGGGGGCGACATCCGCCCCCCCCTTCCACTGGGCGTAGTACTCGCAACCCTTCCACTGCGCGTGTTAAAAATGGATCAAAACAGTTAAAAAATAATGAAACGGCTGATTGATTTATCAACTGTCGTACAATCGAAACTGATAACAGCTACGATCATGGCAAAGTGTGAGACGTTTTTTAGCAATATTTCGAACTTAAATAATTGTAGTTTCATGCCATTAGTTCCAGTTCTTGCTTCACCTTGCATGATATTAACCCGCGACCTGGTGGGGGGGGCTATTTTTTGCCCCCCTCCAGACTTTTCGATATATCTCCAGAACCGCTGCGCCGATCGTCACCAAACTTTCAGTACCCTCCCGGACATCAATTTTACACATTGTGACCAAAAATTTTTCCAAAAGCTATGATAGGTTGGCCGGAAATGACGTCAGAGTGACGTCATGTTCTGCCGTTTTCGACCCAAAAAAGGGTTTCGCGGGAAGAGCTGTCAGGCCTATAGCTTTGCAAATACAGAAAAATGTTTAGGACATAAAAGCTGTAGAATTAACAGGGCTACAAAACTGCTATCTCGGATTTTTGATTTTTTTATTTTGACCCCCAAAAATCAAAAAATAGATTTTTGGGATATAATAGTCAAAAAATCCAAAAAGTTTTTTGAATTTCGCAAAAACCGGAATATATGTGATAGTCCTTACCGCCTTCCATCCACATACCAAATTTTAGATTGATACCTCTTTTTTTGGCGAAGTTATAGCGAAAAAACTGTTCAAAATTGATGACGTCAAATTTTCAAACTCAATTTTTAGCAATTCTAGACCTCGTAGTGCAAAACAAAGACCACCATTAGACTCCCCGTGACGAGCTGCATCGAATCGATACCCATTTTATGCAAAAATATCAACTTTGAAATTTGACCTTTTTTGACCTGACCTTGACCTGACCTCCACCAGAAAGTGACCTAAACCGTACCTGATGGTCTTATAACCAACACAATTGGGTTGGAAATGAAAAACTGGCCATAAAACATGCATCGCACAACCTTAGTAAAGTTGTGTTCATGTGGTGACCCTTGGTGACCTTTGGTGACCTGACATGTGACCTGACCTGGTATGACCAGTGACCTCTAATAGCAACATATGTACTAGACAACTGACGTCTTATCGCTGATTTTCGACAAAATGCGTTTTACTCGGTGTTATAGCGCTTTCCCTAGAAGCCCCGTGAACGGTGAAACATTTTATCTTTGACCTGACCTGTGACGTCATCGGTGACCCCGAGGTCAATAAAATTTGGTTTCCCTCGACAAATTTGACAGGGCTATCGAACGCCGTTTGAATTTTGCGGATCCGTCCAGTAGTTTCGGAGATACGAGGGGGGGGCAAAAAATAGCCCCCCCCCCCACCAGGTCGCGTTATAAACAGACCCCACCAGGGCGCGGGTTAATTATGTAGTTTGCTGAAATAATCCGGAAGACCTTAGTTTAACGGAGACATCACTTCACCACTGGGTGGTGGAAATCATTGAAGCATGTCTGATTAGTCTTTCCATTCGAAACTCCAGACATCTTATGGCTGATGAAAGCACATTGTACTTGGTAGGTATGCCATGAGTAGTATGCAGGGCGTGGAATATGCAGCTTGAAACATCCAGCAGCTTCTGAAATTATACCAAATAACAACCCAAGTCATGTGCGTTATCAATCTGGGAAGGGAGCAAGATTTCCTTTTTGTTCTTGGAATAGCATAAGGGTGAGCCCTTTGTCAGTGCCAGCAAAGAATGCATGCAAATGAACTTTCTAGAGGACTGATGGAGTCAGACACCTCGCGGTCCACCATGGCGACTATTTCACCAGGCACAGAGACAGGGGCGGACGCTGACCATGCATAAATAAAGGGCAGCTGTCGACGACCTTTCGTTCCTTCTACAAGATTGTCGTATGCATTCTGGGAGGATTGCAGAGGAAGAATATAGCCAGAAATATCAGAGGAAGACATTCGACAAGGCGTGTACGGACGGGGATGAGCAGTTCCCAGCAGCGCCTGTAATCGCCTCAGCCGTAATCGCCACGCTGTATGTGGAAGGTTTGTGATGTCAATGCATACATACATACATACATACATACATACATACATACATACATACATACATACATACATACATACATACATACATACATACATACATACATACATACATACATACATACATACATACATACATACATACATACATACATACATACATACATACATACATACATACATACATACATACATACATACATACATACATACATACATGCATACATACATACATAATGGACAGCGGATAACCAGCAGTTCAGCTGAGAACCACCACTTCTCCGACTCGGTAAGCTGGTGAACAACTGTGAACCAAACCCACGTCGTCAGCTGGCACACCGCGCAGTCGTCTCACTTACGGGTTACGGGATGTCATTGAGAGTGAGTTACGAACGAATTACGGGCCGTCAGTGAGACTGAGTTACGAATGAATTACGGGCCGTCAGTGAGACTGAATTACGAACGAGTTACGGGCCGTCAGTGAGACTGAATTACGAACGATTTACGGGCCGTCAGTGAGAGTGAGTTACGAACGAGTTACGGGCCGTCAGTGAGACTGAGTTGCGAACGAGTTACGGGCCGTCAGTGAGAGTGAGTTACGAACGAGTTACGGGCCGTCAGTGAGACTGAATTACGAACGATTTACGGGCCGTCAGTGAGAGTGAGTTACGAACGAGTTACGGACCGTCAGTGAGACTGAATTACGAACGATTTACGGGCCGTCAGTGAGAGTGAGTTACGAACGGGTTACGGGCCGTCAGTGAGACTGAGTTACGAACGAGTTACGGGCCGTCAGTGAGACTGAGTTATGAACGAGTTACGGGCCGTCAGTGAGACTGAGTTACGAACGAGTTACGGGCCGTCAGTGTGACTGAGTTACGAACGAGTTACGGGCCGTCAGTGAGAGTGAGTAACGAACGAGTTACGGGCCGTCAGTGTGACTGAGTTACGAACGAGTTACGGGCCGTCAGTGTGACTGAGTTACGAACGAGTTACGGGCCGTCAGTGTGACTGAATTACGGACGGCCGCCGCCGCCGCCAATGTTGGATGCCGCGCGAGGCACGTGCTGAGTGGGCTTCTTCAAAGAGGCCGCAGACCCGCCGGGCGTGGCCGAGATGCCGGTGGTTCATTCTTAGGGTAATTGACGGCGCGGGGCGGCTGAGGGTGGCGTTACAACACCGCAGTTTAGCCGCTTGCTGTCATCGTTATTATTGTCTTAGTTTAATTTAATTTTTATTGTACCCGTTTTAGCCGGTGTGCGAAAAGTGTGAATGAACTTATCTCCTTCCGCATTTTAGAATTCGACTGAGAGCCTGAGCAAGGAATAGCCACCGATGAGTACAACTGCCAAGACCAATGGTGAACTGGTATTACTATGGGTTGTATCACAACACTGATAAACAATTGTTGTTCGTGTCTTTGTTTTTGTCTTTTACTAATGAATTACTGTGGGAATTTATTGCTATTGTTTACTTATTTATTGTTCGATGTCACTTGTAAACTGACTGTTATCATTTATTCATTTATTGTTCGATGTTAATTGTATAAGTGCATTGTATTTGTTTGTTTATTTATTGTTCGAGGTCGCTTGTACCTTTGTTGTTATTGTAAGCAATTAATTTATTGTTGGATGCCCAATGACGACTTTGTAGCATGCCATTGTACTCTGGTTTGTAAACAGATGTGACATTGACAGAACTCATCAATACATGTTACATATCACAAAGAACTCTCAACAATGCCTCCACGACCACGACCTCATCCGCAGTACATAAGGAGCGTGCACTAATCAGAACAAAGCGACATCGCTGGCACAACTTCCTAAAGCCGTAAAATAGAGAAGTTTGTACCTCATCTAACAATAGCCTCTGTCCTTCCCAGGAGAGCTCTGAACCCCCCGCCATGGCCGACGATTCGCCAGCTGCGGGGCCCGGGGTCATCGCTCCGACATCAAGGAGCGAACTGTCCGACATATCCACCGATACGACCATCACCACCGCCACCAGCGGCACCAGCGGCACCAATGACACCACCAGTGGTGTGGTGAGCGCCGAGGGGACCACCGACCGCACCGCCACCACCGCCGCCGCCCAGGCCACATCTCACGTACAAGAGATTAGCCAACAGAACATCAAGAACCGGCTGAACGAGGTCATCACGGAGATCGAACGAGAAGTGGAGCAGGAGTTGGCGGGCGACGAGCCGGAGGAAGCTGGCGGCGAGCAGCGGGTGGCGCCGCCGGAAGGAGCGCAGGTGAGAGACGCGGAGTGAGAGAGATAGAGGGAGGAGAGGGAGAGGGAGAGGGAGAGGGAGAGGGAGAGGGAGAGGGAGAGGGAGAGGGAGAGGGAGAGGGAGAGGGATAGGGAGAGGGAGAGGGAGAGGGAGAGGGAGAGGGAGAGGGAGAGGGAGAGGGAGAGGGAGAGGGAGAGGGAGAGGGAGAGGGAGAGAGAGAGGGAGAGGGAGAGGGAGAGGGAGAGAGAGAGAGGGGGGATGAGAGTGGAGAGTGGAGAGTGGAGAGTGGAGAGGGGATGAGAGTGGGAATGGGAGTGGGAGAGGACGTAAAAAATAAAAAAAGAATATGAGGAAAAATATAGGTAGATAAACATATGTTTGTTAGATTTGATTTGTTACGATTTATTAGATTTGACAATGCACAGTTCCAGACGTGACCAGATGAAACAACTCAACAGACGAAACACATCTGTGGAATTTGTGTGAATGATTGACAAAACTCGGTAAATGGGCCTTCTGCATAGATACTTTCAGGTGGATGATTTTAGTCATTTTAGAGTATCAATTTAAACATGATGCATAATGCGCATCCCTATAAAAAATGTCATAAGAACGGAAAAGCGAAAACGGAACGGAACAATGGGAACCAATGTCACGGAACTCAGCAACTGCCATCTCTGAATCTGATATTAGGAATGCGACAACTCTGGTTAGTTGAGTCCCACGGAAGTAGAACATGCCATATGAATTCCAAACGGCCAACCAGCCGACCATTTCCAGATTCTCAGTCAACTGAAATCATTAGCATTCAGGACTCGTAGAATATGACTCGCTTCTGGCCGTCTGAATTCAGCCCGGCTTGGGGCGAGGGCGTTAATCAACTCACGCGCTCACCCCGTCAAAACATGACAGGAAAAAACAAACTTGCCCGTCAATCACCGCTAACGTCCGCCCTATGCAGGCAGGGAGCTTAATGACCCGCTCGCCGCCCTAAATCATTTCGATTAAGCTGAATATTTCGATTATAAGCGGAATCATGCATCAATACCTCGGGATCGCATTTGAGAGAAGACCGAATGAAGGTTATGACCTGTATTTTTAGAAGCTATTAAAACAAATGTCTTGTGCATATCTCAAATCACCATCGTAAGTAGGTATAAAATACGTCAGCCATCGCATCATCATAGATGGGCTTTAGGGGCTAACTATGATGAACTCTACGACCTACATTAACCCCGGCACAGCTCCCTTCAATCGGATCTCTTAAAACTCGCTATTTAGCCGAGTCGGAAAGTGCCTGATAGTCTGCAGAGCTAGGCTAAAAATAAGCTCAGATGGCGAGTGTAATTAGGAAACGCCACTGCCCTGTCCCACGCCCTAACAAAGTGGGGATGGCATTCTCATCACACCGTGATGGTACAATTTCACACTATACCGTTGAATGCGGGTGGTGATTCCGGAATACTGACCACAGACAAATTCGCCGTGGAACTTCCCAAAAGGGATGTGGTGAACTTGACCCCCGGCCATTTTTATCATAGTGCTACATCGAGCTTGACAGGATCAATATAGTTTTATCATGCACACGCTTCTAAATCTAAATCAAAACTCAAAGGTTCTAAGACGAACATAAGATCATCTATTTCAGAACTCTAAATACAGTAAATCGATTTTCATCTCTTCATCATTGATATGTATGGCACCGTCTAATCTGCAGTCCATTCCATTCACCATGAATTCCGGTATTGCAAAATATGTGTCTGACTCCATGATGAACCATAAACCAATGGCGGTATCGGAAGTCTGGTAAAATGCAGACTTCATGGCGGCAGCAGTGGCTCCAATATCCACCCAACCGCATATACTGATGGCATTCACACTTGTGGATATTACGAACACAGATAACAGTAGTACAGTAACAACAGTAGTACTACTGTTATCTGTGTACGAATGCATAAGCTAGCCGCGATGTAGAAACTGAGGCCTACTAAGTGTAAAAATAAATTAAACCCAAAGAAGAAGTCGTAAGCTACATACGCATACATTGAGAGCCTTACCTGCAACTAAGCCTACCTTCTTTCATTGCCATTTGTAAATGATGCTATATGCTTTGACTTCGCTCAGTATTGGGAGCCTTTCCTATCATTGTTTTATTTAACAAAAAAAAAAAAAACATGAACCATAGGAACAATTTGATAGCAAAGTTCTGCTCATCTATGTAGTTTTTTTTAGAACTGCCCGCTACTGATAGGTACTATCACACTGACTTGCTCACTGTTCAGGTCAATGAGTCCCACATGTCAGAGGTGACATTCGCATCAGAAAGAAAACACTCCAAGGAGAACTTTCAGTACCGCAGGAGGTCGCGTTTCTCACAAATTCATATCGAAGACTCATTCGATGTAAGTGGCATTCACACGTAGATGCTAATTCCGCTTCCATTATGTAGATGAGAATTCCGCTTTCGTTATAGAGAACCCGCGTGAGATCACATACGCTTTTTTGTTTCATAGACATTTTCCTTGATTTTATGTAGGAGAATCATCCCAATCGTGATGCTCAAAGTAGTTATTAGTAACATATAGCATACCTTCCATTAAAAGGAATCTTAGAAGCAGGCGCTATTGCCAATGACACCATACATGACCGGTAAATTACAGCCTCGTTATCAAATCAAAACAACGTCATACGATAATAGCAAGTAGTTAGGCTTTGTAGATAAGAAAATGCACTGCTGAAATGTGCGTTTTATTCAAACTTTTGTTGGTGTGTGTCGTAATGCACCATTTATTAATCATAAATATTATTCACTTGCAAGACCACGGAGTTTGGAATGAGTAGAAATCTTTTAAGTATTGTCTTGCTTGAAATATGTCGAATTTCCCAGCACTTAACGCTGGCCCCTCCTGAATATATTTCATGTGCTAAAAAGTCGGGACGTTTCCCGCGAAGTAGCCCATTATGCCTGTACTGCCAGTCAACGCATTCTTGTTAATTAGTAACCATGCTAAGATATACAGCTGCTGTAGTAAGATATGTAGCTGCTGTAAGATATGTAGCTGCTGCTTTTTAGTCATAGGTACTTTATCCCCATAGCGCCTGTAGGTACTTGAGTTTTAGTAAAACACTTTCCAGAGTAATCGAAGTTAGTAATAAAACGTGAGAAATGCTTACCCAAAACATAGATGAGTGCAGTGTGGAATAGCATAGACGGTGGCGAGTGGAGTGTAGACGCATAAACAGAGTTTGAGAGTGCAATACCCTTTGTGTGTCCATAGGAGATCGCCAGTCCACCCATTGCAACGCCTCCCACTTCCCCTGAACCCGCGCACCAATCAGCAGCAGCCGCGGAAGGTCAAGGTGAATCGAACGACCAATGGCAGCCGGACCCTACCGCCGTCAGCCAATCAGTGGCCAGCGGAGTCGTCTCCGAGCAGAACAGCAGCCTATCAACTGACGTTACGTCGAACCGAACACATTTCGAAGACATGCAACCTGAGCCGCACGTGCCAAACGTAGCAGCATCCTCTGTCACGCCAACGCGTACGTCAATGGTAAGCGCTCAAGCTCAAACGGAGCCGATCGCATACCAAGCAAGGGATGGTCGCTTTCCCTCCCCATATACCTCCACAAACACCTCATCTTTGCCGCGAGGCTGGCCAGGCGGCGGTGGGACCGCCTTCGCCATCTCCGGTCATCCGACTGCACCCGCCACCGCACACGAGGCCCCCGAACGGCAGCGGACTCCTCCAATGAGCGCTCACGACCAGTGGAAGGCAAGAGAGGCCGCTGCTTCACCCTATGCCACGCTCCCGAGGATGAACAACGCACAGCCTCGCGGCTGGGGAGCTGGAACTGGTGCACCGAACAGGGGCGATCATCCCAAAAGAGTCCACTTTGCCGACGCGCCCCAAGTGGAGACATTCGAAAACGATGCTGAGGTCACGACTCGAGCACCTGAGGTCACTATGAGACCTCGACCGGAGGCTGGGAGAACGCAGAGACCCGTGTCGGCTCCGGCAGCCGCCCAGCTGTTCACGATTCCAAATATGGCTGCCAGACCGTATGGAAGGACGAGTCCTTTGGTGGTGGCGCCTGTCAAACGGGAGAGTCCACCACCGCCGGCTCCGGGGGGAGGTCACGTCCAGGTGGATGCATGCGTGAGGGAGGAATCAGAGGTTAGTCAGATGCGAATTGCGATGAAGATTTGTGTCGGGTTTTGTCTTGAAATACGTTTTACTAACCAAGCATGGCCCAGGGCACGATGGAAGACTGATTACGACCGGAGTCTAATGATAATTTTCAGTTTATCCTGCTGGTGAGTGAGATGTTACTTGTACTCAATTTTTAAACGTACTTGATTTTGACGATCGTTTTTACAAACCCTGTAATCTTTTTACGCTCTCGTTTCATTTTGCCCTTTCATTTTGCCCGTTTTTTTTTTCTTTTTCGTTTTGTATTTAACGTGATGTAATTAATTGTTCAGTTTGTCACGATGATCTACTTATAATTTTATCGTCAGCATGATTTCTAACTTTCACCGTATGGTGTTTACTATTATCGAATTACCGAGAGGATAACTTGTTTGTCGCTAACTACTGTTGCTTGGCCATATTGGTGCTCACATAATAATTTCGATATGAGAGAGGAAAATAAATCTTACCAGCATAGTATGAAATCCAATATAAATTATCAAACCTATATAGTTAAATGCAAAATACGCCTGACGCCACCACCACCGCAGTTCTGTTCACTGTTTCCTATTTCTGCCGCTAGATGTCCTCGCAGCTGCCGGAGCCGGAACCGGTGCCGGAGCCACCAGCGCCTCCGGCCCCTCCCGTACAGGTCAGTTTATACAGGTGGCGCTACTGTTCTGCCCGGAACGGCTCAGTTCCATCGGCAGTTTTCATTGAGATGTTCTAAAAATGGAATTTTGATAGAACATAGAAAATGTATCAAACACAAAAGAAACTTTCACAGCCTCTGATAAGCAAATAAGACCAATGCATTGAAACAACAGCGGGCAACGTCTAAAATAAAGTGTTTTGTTTTGTTCTTTTGATGTCAGACCTGTGACATAAATAGCTGGTATACAAAGGGCCAGATTTACCCAGCCTCAGCCCACTCATGGAGCTTTATATGGCCGAACGTTACCCTTGAGCCGCATTTTGAATAATCACAAGTTAATCGTTCCCATATATCTGGACACCGTTCGTAGATAGCAACTAATGATTTCAACACATTTTCCCTAGCCTGCTATCAAACGCCGATCCAAAGCTCTTGTGTGTGGCAAACCTTAGCAAGATAACAAGCATATGTAGTTAGGATTTTAAATGACCTTTTCCTCGATAAGTAATTGGAAAGGCAATAAAAAACATATATTGTTTAGCAAATTTTCGAACAATAGTTCATTCTCAAGCCACATGAAATAATTGACAACCTTGTCAATTGACAACCTTATCAATTATTTCATGTGGCTTGAGAATGAACTGTTGTTCGAAAATTTGCAAAACAATATAATGTTTGTTTTTTATTGCATTTCCAATTAATTATCGAGGAAAAGGTCATTTGAAATATTAACCCGCGCCGTGCTGGGGGGGGGGGCGTTTTTACGCCCCCCCCCCTCAGGTTTTTCGCGAATATCTCAAAAACGGCGGCGCGCAGCGCCGCCGTTTTTGGTACACGTGTTCCTACATCATTTCCGCACATGTTGTGAAAATTTCAGACCTAGGCCGTCCAAGGTCAGGTCACCAGGTCACGTCAAGTGACCTTACCCCAGAAAAAGTTCAAAGGCTCGCTATAGCTACACCGACTGAACGATCACTTTGAAACTTTCAGCGATTGATATGAGTAACAGTATGTATAAAATGTATATCTCGGATTTTTGATATCTGTGACCTAAGGTCAGGTCAATTTTGCGACCTCTCCATTATAAGTCAATGGGAGAAAATTGAAATGCGCCTCTTTTGGACGAATATCGTTCAAAACGCTCTCAAACATCGGTTCATAGGTAAACATGACACACTGAATAGGAAAAATGCACCTGTGACCCCTCTGTGTGCCCCTGAGGTCATCTCAGGTCATGAACGGTCGCCAGCAGTTTTTTGGCTATAACTTTTGATAGAGACGTGCTAGAGCGGTGAAAACACGTCAGATGTGTTCAGCTCGACGATACGGATCGACTGATATGCAACATGACCCTTTTCGGTCAGGTCATGACCTTGACCTGAGGTCAAATTTTCAAAATGACCTTTCAAGGTCAACAAATAGTTCATTCGACGCGTCTCGACGAGAGGAACACGATGCTGGCAAAAGTAATGTCATGGCGCTTATGAGTCAAAAGTTATTGACGAAAAAACGTTTTTCGTAAAAACGGCTATTTTTGGAGTTTTTGCCCTCTGGAGGCTAAACCGTTGACCTGAGGTCAAATCTGAGAACATTACTCAGAAAGGTCTGTAAAAGGGCTATCGAATGCGCTTTTCCGCGGCGCTGTAGCTCTATCGGTTCCCGAGATAGCCGTTGGCAGTTTCCAAAATGTTGAAATAGTCAACATTTTACCTTTGGTGACCTCTGGTGACCTGACCTTTGACCTGACCCAAAAAATGACCGAAGTGTTTTCGTCCTTATTTTTGACGCTCTTTCGATTGCCGCTTACCGCGTGTCGCTACGTGGCCCAGGAGCCGAGTTAGACGGGGGGGGGCGTGAAAACGCCCCCCCCCCCCCCAGCACTCGGCGGAAAGTTCAGGCCACCAGCACGGCGCGGGTTAACTACATATATCAAGATGTTCCTCGCTAGAGCACTGCATACTATTTCTTCATAAGATAAAAAGCACATTAGCTATTGATATATGTGTATTTATATGGCCTCCAATGTATCCTAGAATTTTTCTTCGCGGCTTTTCACACCAATTTTCTCAGACTTACAATTCCGATTCCCGTGCAGACTATCAATCCCGTGCAAAGTGATTCAGGTGCTTTAGCTCCACTCTTTCTTTTGCTTGACAGATTCTAGTCACTTTGCGCTGATCATTCCTGTTCACTGTTCAGAACTTCAGAGTGTGCAAATCGACCTAGGAGCAACGCATGAACATTTTTTTTTTCATACCGGATGGCACTGCAGCATACTGAAGTATTACCTATACATATATCTACCCACACAGTGCATCAAATGCATTTGTGGGTGAAGAAGCGGTTTGCGGGAATTTCATACCGGGCCTTTTTCAGAAAATACACATCATGATTGCACATATCACTCATACAAAATCAACAAAGGACTTGAAGTTTCAAAAATTGGCTTCAACAAGGTGGGAGAAATACAGGAATCACCTGCGGAGATCCTTCACCTGCAGGTTCCTCAGGCGAATAGCTTAGAAACACAATGCCTCCGGGTAAAAGTAGGTGCGTAATGAAATTATTCACAACCGACTTTCTCAGGACTAGATATTAAGTTCCTTATTGACACATCAAGCGCTACCCTAGGGCGAGAAGCATCTAATTTGGTTATAAAATAATGCATAATAGTGTTCTAGCGTAGTCATAAGGATGCAAATCTCGGGCGCAAGCGGCCCGCATGTGAGGTCTGATTTGCGCTAGCAAAGCCGCTTCTAAGCCAGGCGGGGTCGGCGGACAATATAACCTGCAGCACATTCAATGACCTTGCACAATGAACAAGTCCGTGCCTTTAGAGTTATCGGCAATCAGAGAAAATTGATGTGGGTCGGCCGTTTGCATTGTAAAATTGCAGAGTCGGGCGCACTGAAGCACTCTGCAGAGTTGTATGGAAGGACTATAATAGCAGTACGTTTTGTCAATGACTGCGCTATATTAGACGCTCAATAAAGGCACGGCGTAAGCTTTGCAATATATAACACAATCAATTACTAGTTAGCTTGTTGTGCGCATAAGCCCTAGGGTTTTTAGGTCTACAGGTGTTGAAACAGTAATAGTGTACCATGCCTAAGTTCAATGGAAATAAGAAAAAACGTTTACTATATGTATATCTGACCTAATTCTGAATGAAAATAAGAAAAACGGTCTGATATACATCAGATCTAAAGTTTAATGAAAATAAGCTTGACATTGTCAGTGTCGGAAAATGTCATATATGGCGTGTCTCATTTAAATAATTAAATTACAGCATCCAGTTGCCATGCAAAATGCAAATAAACTGGCTAGATTTCCCCCACATCCACTTGGTCCAACAAAAGCTAAATACAGATTTGTGAGCCCCCAGCGTAATTAGGCTCCTTAATTACTGATAGAACACTTAGCCGCCCTGTTGCTCCTTTTAGCAGTCGTTGATCCTATCAGGCGTTCTCCCATTGTGAACACGGAAAGAAGTCGATGGGCAGCATAAATAACGCAGCCGAATCCGCGTTCGTTTTATTTGTGTCTGTTCGATCGCATAATAAATGCGGTAGCCAGGATATTATGGCGGCAATTTCAGACTATTTATTTCAGGTTTCGCCCAGCTTTATTGGTCCAGGTCAATATAAAGGAGACTGAAATCGTTTGGAGATAAACTTCAATCATTTTCGATTATCTGATGCTTCAGTGAACAGAGTCATTGAATAGCTAAAATCGCCTCAGTGAATTCCGGTAGACGCTGCTCCGTCGCCCTTCTCACAGAGGTGGTATGCATGACATAATCTCACGTGGGCGGCGTAGGCTAGCCGTGCTGCCAAACAGCGCGACTGGCTGCCAAAGCTCTCACCTATAGTGACGTAGACTGTGCCGACGGACACGGCTCCCCCTCTCCTCTTACACCCCCCCCCCCCCGCCCCCAACCGGGGGTGCCTCTCGGGTCGACCTTTCGCTGAAACGGGCTACTAAACTTAACCGAGATGAAGATGTTCAACGACGCTTCAGTAGCCGAGAAGGGACGATCGACATGAGGCCGATCTGCTGAGGGGCGGACGACCGAGGGGGTCGAGGGGGGTCGAGAGGGGGGTCTAAGGTACAGGGTTGTGCTTGACTCATGAGTCGAGTCAGAAATTTGACTCAACTCTGACTCAAATGAGTCAGATTTGAGTCGAGTCGGATAAAATGTTGAGCTGTTGAGTTGAGTCAGAGTTGAGTCGGACAAAAATATTAAGGCGTTGAGTTGAGTCAGAGTTGAGTCAGTAAAATAACTTTTGACATTGAGTTGAGTCATATATATATATATATATATATATATATATATATATATATATATATATATATATATATATATATATATATATATATATATATATATTCTGCTGCCGGATTTTTTCACCCCCCCCCCCCCCTTCAACAACTTTTTTATCTGAGTCAATTTTGAGTCAAGTCACTTGACTCAACAAAAAAAAATTGAGTCAAATTTGAGTCGACTCATATTTTCATTGAGCCGCTTGAGTCATAAGTCGAGTCAAGGGAAAAAATCAGCTCCTTGTTTGAGTCAGAGTTGAGTCAGGGCTTTCTGAAGGTGAATGATGAGTCGAGTCGGCAAATTTTTTTGAGTCGAGCACAACCCTGCTAAGGTAGCTCGGAGTGCCAGCAGGTCGTGCCGGCGGCTCAGTCGGAGGACACGACCTAAAAATACGACGGCGGCGGGCCAGTTGGCCGGGGCGGTGGAGTGGGCCGCCCGGCGCCCGCCGTGTCACAGTTTGGAGGTCAGTGCGAGATATACCAGCCCGCGCTGAAACACAGCCACCCGTTCCCGGGAGAGTGATCGCCCATGGACAGTGAGTGATCCAAAGTGCCCCGCTGCTGGGAGCTGGAAGCGGAAGACCACCATCCAACTGGACCAGACCACCAGACCACCAGTCTGTTAGAGACCAGACCGACGAACCGGGGGGACAAGTCGCGACCCACGTGAAGCT